CTGGGCCAGCACCTGAGAAAACAAAATGGCCTCCCAGTCCTTGGGCTCCCAGGCCGACGCCACCCACCCAACCTGTCGTAGAACCCAATTTCAGCATGGCTTTAGCCATACATTTCCGAAAACAAATAAGATAGCTAGAATACAGAGTTGGGCGAAATGCTCTTGTCACGAATTTTACGCTACCAAATGTTGGGGCCTGACTGTTTCTGCGTTCCTTACTTCTTTACCAGTCAAAGCAAGGATCTTGCAGCGGATGCTTTAATGAATTCATTCAGTCGGCATGCATGCGTCCTCTCCGGGTGGCAGACTTTGGCTGCACCCTGTTGCCGCCGTCGATTAGCAGATGCGAACGTCACAGCGAGGCTTCGGGGGGCTAAAAATGCAAAATTTGCGCAGGTCCTGCTGAGATTCGAACTCAGGTTAGCAGATTCAAAGTCTGCTGTCCTAACCGCTAGACCACAGGACCAGATCCCTTGATATCAAAATTGGTCAAGCACCTTTATAATACCCCAAGCTTATTGCGCCCACCTGGACTTTTGTGGACTATGGTGCCAGGAGCTCGGAAAACATGCGTGTTTCGGACGGACATCAAGTGGGCAGAAAGAATTGGGCCCTCAACATCTTAAGCCGCTCATCATGGGCAGCAATCACTCAGATAAATGCATGGTCATCCAAGTTAGGTAGCCGTCCCATTTAGACGCACCTACCTAACGGTTCTTGCACGTGTACTATGACTGCTGCCAGCCTGGAGCGAGTATAGTTGATAACGGGGAGGCTTTCAGACACGAGGGCCCCCCACCCCAGAAAAACAAAGGGTCCAGGTGGCGGTGACTTGTTGGCTGTACAATAAAGAGCTGGGGTTACGAAGGTAACTTGTACGGTTTGTTTGAAGCGAACTGGAGGCGTGCGTCATGGTTGATGCGGATCATTAACACATGTGAGTGTGAAAAAGAAATTCCAATGTGTGGTATGAAGCTAGCTGACAAGCTCTGATGGATAAACAGGGAGTCAAGCCGAACTGGTGACAGATGCACTGCAAGCTGAAACGTACCAAACTTACCAATTACAGAGCAACCTTACCATAGTCGTGGGTGTTGTCAAAACATGCTTTCCAAAATTGCCAGTTATGTATTTTATTTATTAATGTCATTGTTTCTTAAATCTTGATTGTGCGGTGTAATGTTTTCTCACATGCTGAAGCACTACATGAATCATGCAGGTGCAGGGTGGCAAGCGGCAAGTGGTAACATGGATTTGCTTGGGATAAATTATCACTGTTGTGCGTGCTTAGTAATCGAGTATGTACATATTTGCGCCCAATACGTACACATGCATGGGCAGGTACACATGGTATGGCTCATTCATAATGTGCGTGTGTTCTATGTTTGGTTTTCTTATTAAAGCTTTTCAAGCCGATGTTAGTTTTCACTGCCATGTGTGTGAGGTGTTGAGCCAAGTTCCTTCGCTGCATCCTGCGTTTCCCTAAATTGCATGAATGGTGATCATCTCAGGGGTCGTCTTAACCTGGCAGATATCCAAAATAAGTGGGAAAGGGGGTAGAAAGTGATATGAGATTTCGCCACGATGCTCACAATGGATGGTGGAAGAAAAGACAACTTTATTTTGTGTCACTCACGCGCCCTCGGTCCCAGACTTGTCAAAGACCGAGATGAGATATAAATATCTGAGAGACAGAAATCAAAAAGCCAATTTTCTGTTGCTCATGGTGATCACATGCTTCAATCACCTTTTCTGTTACACGGCCCTAAACACAATATATGAACACAACGCATTGGTTTATATTAAATTCTGCACCGCAACTGCATTTACGTACACTTTCCTATATATATAATTTGTTTGCATGTGTATTGTATCAATCAACGACCTCTTAGTAATGCGTTTTTTGTGTTTATTAGCTGTTTCGTTGACTATATCTGTTATGTGGCCACTTTTGTCATCAAAGCGTAATAGTGTCACCGTAGTCTAGGCGGTTAGGATACGTGGCTTTCACCCACGCGACCCGGGTTCGAGTCCCGGCGGTGACATGCTTTTTCCTACGACACAAATGACCTCCTTAATTAGCATTTTGTGCTCACAGCCTTGCATACATGCACGCCATTCCAAATCCATGCCACAACCCCATTTTCAATGGTCACAGCAGGGGGGGGTTAAGAAATTTTCTTATAAACCCCAACCCGAAATTTCCAAAGAGAAGGCCTCGGAGCCACCCACCCACCGCCAAGCGTGTCGTACAACCTGTAAACTATGCCAAAACGCCGGGGGAAAAAGCGTCTAGGTTCCTCTGCGCAAGCTCTATTAAATGCAGTCGAAAAACCCCAAACCCCCTGGGACGTTAATGTCACAGCGTTGCACTATGGACGGCTAAGGTAACCATGTTCTTGGCCCCAGCTTGACTGATGTTATGTATTTGGCGCCTAGGAAGCACCATGGTCCTCCCATTTGCGCCCTACCGCCGCCAGTTCTGTCACCAACCTACATGACGCCACCACCACGCACGTCCCAGGCCCCTGCTCCTGCCTCTTCTTCCCCCTGTGGCACTGGGCCCTCGACCTTAGCCCCTGGCACCAATTCCCACGCCTTCTTGTCCCTACCAACGGCCCCTATGGGTTAATCCGGCCAACGGATAAGTTAAATCTGCTTAAATCCGTCTAAATCCGGGATAAGCCTTCTGGTCGCATTAAGGCGTGCGCATTCAGATTATAACGGATCACAACGGCTTTGACACAAATCCAAACAATTAATCCACTGTCACACTTGTGCTCGTAGTGGATTAAAACGGCTTAAGCACATGAAGTAGCCCCAATACTGAGAGGTAGAGGGCGCGCACCTCGCAGGAAATAAGGGTTTGCAACACGCAGGGAGGGCTCGCAACATGCTGGGAGGCCTTGCAACACGGTGGGAGGGCTTGCAACATGGCCAGGAGGGCTTGCAACACGGCCAGGATGGTTTGTAATAAGTAGGGAGGGTTTGCAACATGGCAATGGCATGCAACACAGTAAGAGGGTTTGGAGCACAGCCGGGAGGATTTGCAATACACAGGGAGGGCTTGCAACACGGCGGGAGGGCGTGCAACATGAGGGGACACTGGGGTTCTGACATCTGGGGACGGGAGGGCGCTGACATCTGGCTACTGGAGCACCCCTAGCACAGTGGGCCCCCTAGCACTGTAGCCCAGAGCTCCTAGCCGCTAGCCCCTACCTCTTAGGCTCGAACTCCTGGTCCCCAGCAGCTAGCCCCTAGCAGCTAGGGCCCCTAGGGGTACAGCTTTGCGTGCCATTCGGGTGTATAAAGACGTGGGGGGTCTGCATGCATGCAAGGATGGGGAGGGCTGGCCGGGGTGGCAGTGTGAGGCAAGGATGTTGCTGGTAGTGTACGTGCAGTACTCCCTGGAGGAATCGAACCCCCTAGAGCGGCCTGACCGCAGGAGCACTGGGCTGCAATAGCTTGAAGCAAATCAAGCCAGATGTTCATGTGGGGTTGTGCTGCCATACACCACAGTATTTGCAGCCAGCCAAAAGCAGCAGGGCTGCTGGATGTCGTACAGCCATGTGCAGTGGGTGCTGCTGGCAAGCAAGGGGCCAGGTGGACATGCATTCAGTCAGCGGTGGCTTGTAAGAAAGCGGGCGGGGGCTGTTTTACGGCACTGCTTACATTTAGGATGCTGGAGCCAAGGTCAGTTGCCACGTTCCATGATGTTTATGATGGTCATCGTGTATGGGATACCTGAAAGCGCTGCAAGGTTGCAGCAGCAAAGGCAAGAGAGAAGAGTTTAAAGACAGTGCCAGGTAAGCAAGTGACGAAAGTAGGTGTTGAAGGATGATGATGGTAATAAGAGGTGACAGCGGTTTGTGGGATCAATGGAAGCACGGGGCCAAAAGGATATGACAGCAGGGGGTAAGAAGGAGGAAACGCAGCAGGACCAGCGAGGGGAGAGGGAGTGCAAAGGGGGTTGCACTTACATGGCTGCATGGGGGAGGGGCCTGTATGGACTGTGGACAAGGCAGCAGCAGGGCAAAAAAGGATAACCAGCTGCAGGAGGGGCTGCATGTCATACATCCCTGTATGTGCGGTGGATGCCACTGGCAAGCGGGCTGAAGGGCAGCATGCATGTGTGCAGATGCAGGTACGAAGATGGTGAAGGGGGGGGCTGTTGTTCGGCACTGCCTACCTCGGATATTGAGAGCCCGTTGCCCCTAATGCCTTATTTATGCGAGTTGTGATGGCCGACATTTGCAGGATACTTGGAAGGGTTAGTTCATAGGGTGTGGTGGTAACGAACTGTGGATAAGGAGCATCATGTCAGGAGCGGCAGGAGTGGGTGGTGTTGGAGGGAGGTTGTAAGAGCTAACCGGCGGTGTTTTGGCTTATCGGATACAGGTAAGCACGGGCGAGAAAGTATGGCAGCGGTGGGAGAAGAGGGAGAAAACGAGGGGGGGGGGGAGTGCATTCAAGCAGGCTGAGGCGACAAGGAAGGAAGTTGGAGGTAGCTGTCAAACTGCAATGCTAACCTTGAAAAGCCATCATCTGTTTCATGTACGTAACCTCAGTAATCCTAGCCTGGTATCATTAAGAGGTACCTTGTGGCTTTCATGTCTTATGTGCCTAGTATGGCCTGCTGGTCGAAGTGATGCTGACCAACCTTCAGGAAACATAAGCTCCAGCGGTGGTAAGGGTGCTGTCACTTATAGTAAAGCCTTAAAAACGCTAGTCTGGTGGGCTAGTTGGCCTCATCTTGTTTGCTTTTTGTAAACAGGGGACATGGAGTGCGCGCTCCAGTAAAAGGATTGGAAGGATAACGTTACATCAGGTGCAGATGGGGCAAGATGGACTGAAGAAAGCAACTCACAATACATATTTACAACTTGTGCCCCTCTGTCCTGCACCTGAATACTCATGTACGGCGTAGCATGAGTTACGCCGTACCTGTTTCACAGGTGAATCGAATCTTTGAAGAAACTTTCTTCAAGTTACCTCATACCTGTATAGCTGCCTCATAATATTCATGGTATGCATTGTACTAGATGTGGCCAGTTTCTCGCCTTTGTTACGTAGTCAACCATGAGCGAGGCGTCCAGTATTTTATATTATAGAAACTTCATTAGGTCAGATAGGCTTTCTTGGCCGACGTTGTTTGTTGCCGACGCTTTCAAGCAATGCTGCTGCCAAGGCCATCGCTGCGTTGGAGGAGTACACGAAAGCAAAAAACTTCGAATGCGTGTAGCTATTATATGCTGTTTGTCTCAAACCGCTTCAGAGGAGGGAAACAGCGCTCCATTTCAAATACTGGAATGAAAACGCTCCGATGGGCGCCAGCCAGAGTGCTCTCTTCAAGCTTGCAATATAGATTTGATGGCCATCAACCAAGCTGTCGACTAGAATGCAGTCGGCGGTACATCCGACCCAGCAAGGGAAGCAAATTGAGCAGCAGCAAACCAGGCGGCGCCAGCCAATGCTCTGACCTAGTAGAACCCCCCACTCGGAGGAAAGTGTGCCAGCATTGCAACCCTTGGTGATGGATGCACGTTGGGCAGGTGTGGCACGGGTCAGGATCGCTCTGTGTATGCTGCATCCATGCGCTTCCTCCCCCGCCCGCCTCCCTCACCCGCCTCCCTCACCCACCTCCTGTCCAGATTCCTCTCCTTACATCTCCTCGCTCCTTTCCACGCCCGCAGACCTGCCTCATGCCGCTGGGCCCCTGGAAGGCACCAAACAGGGCGGCGCCGGCCACCGTTCTGACCTAATAGGATCCCCCACTTGGAGGTAAGCATGCCAGCGTTGCAACACATGGTGGTGGATGCACGTTGGGCGGTGCGGCGACGCTCACCCTTGCATGCCATGAAGGATCGCTCTGTGTATGCTGCTTTAACTTCCTTAACAGCAAGTCTCTTGCTTGGATTCATGCTCCTTCAAGCGCACAGGAACCATGCAGCATGTACGGCGGTGTTCGTTCCTCCTGCCCGTTACCCGTGGCGTTGCATGCATCTGCGCCGCTGTGTTGGCCCCCATACCGGCCGCTTCCTCCATCACCCACCTACACCACTCATGAACTCGCAGCTTCCTCCCCCGCCCGCCTCCTCCACCCGCCTCCCTCACCCACCTCCTGTCCGGATTCCTCTCCTTGCACATCCTCACTCCTTCCACGCCCGCTGACCTGCCGCATGCCGCTGGGCCCCTGGAAGGCACCAAGCAGGGCGGCGCCGGCCACCGTTCTGACCTAATAGGATCCCCCACTTGAAGGTAAGCGTGCCAGCGTTGCAACCCTTGGTAATGGATGCACGTTGGGCGGTGCGGCGACGCTCGCCCTTGCATGCCATGAAGGATTGCTCTGTGTATGCTGCTTTAACTTCCTTAACAGCAAGTCTCTTGCTTGGATTCATGCTCCTTCAAGCGCACAGGAACCACGCAGCATGTACGGCGGTGTTCGTTCCTCCTGCCCGTTACCCGTGGCGTTGCATGCATCGGCGCCGCTGTGTTGGCCCCCATACCGGCCGCTTCCTCCATCACCCACCTCCACCACTCATGAACTCGCACGCAGCTTTCTCCCCCGCCCGCCTCCTCCACCCGCCTCCCTCACCCGCCTCCCCCACCCACCTCCCGTCCGGATTCCTCTCCTTACAGATCCTCGCTCCTTCCACGCCCGCTGACCTGCCGCATGCCGCTGGGCCCCTGGAAGGCACCAAGCAGGGCGGCGCCGGCCACTGTTCCGACCTAATAGGATCCCCCACTTGGAGGTAAGCGTGCCAGCGTTGCAACCCTTGGTAATGGATGCACGTTGGGCGGTGCGGCGACGCTCGCCCTTGCATGCCATGAAGGATCGCTCTGTGCATGCTGCTTTAACTTCCTTAACAGCACGTCTCTTGCTTGGATTCACGCTCCTTCAAGCGCACAGGAACCACTCAGCATGTACGGCGGTGTTCGTTCCTCCTGCCCGTTACCCGTGGCGTTGCATGCATCTGCGCCGCTGTGTTGGCCCCCATACCGGCCGCTTCCTCCATCACCCATCTCCACCACTCATGAACTCGCAGCTTCCTCCCCCGCCCGCCTCCTCCACCCGCCTCCCTCACCCGCCTCCCCCACCCACCTCCCATCCGGATTCCTCTCCTTACAGATCCTCGCTCCTTCCACGCCCGCTGACCTGCCGCATGCCGCTGGGCCCCTGGAAGGCACCAAGCAGGGCGGCGCCGGCCACTGTTCTGACCTAATAGGATCCCCCACTTGGAGGTAAGCGTGCCAGCGTTGCAACCCTTGGTAATGGATGCACGTTGGGCGGTGCGGCGACGCTCGCCCTTGCATGCCATGAAGGATCGCTCTGTGCATGCTGCTTTAACTTCCTTAACAGCACGTCTCTTGCTTGGATTCACGCTCCTTCAAGCGCACAGGAACCACTCAGCATGTACGGCGGTGTTCGTTCCTCCTGCCCGTTACCCGTGGCGTTGCATGCATCTGCGCCGCTGTGTTGGCCCCCATACCGGCCGCTTCCTCCATCACCCACCTCCACCACTCATGAACTCGCACGCAGCTTTCTCCCCCGCCCGCCTCCTCCACCCGCCTCCCTCACCCGCCTCCCCCACCCGCCTCCCTCACCCACCTCCCGTCCGGATTCCTCTCCTTACAGATCCTCGCTCCTTCCACGCCCGCAGACCTGCCTCATGCCGCTGGGCCCCTGGAAGGCACCAAGCAGGGCGGCGCCGGCCACTGTTCTGACCTAATAGGATCCCCCACTTGGAGGTAAGCATGCTAGCGTTGCAACACATGGTGGTGGATGCACGTTGGGCGGTGCGGCGACGCTCGCCCTTGCATGCCATGAAGGATCGCTCTGTGTATGCTGCTTTAACTTCCTTAACAGCACGTCTCTTGCTTGGATTCACGCTCCTTCAAGCGCACAGGTACCATGCAACATGTACGGCGGTGTTCGTTCCTCCTGCCCGTTACCCGTGGCGTTGCATGCATCTGCGCCGCTGTGTTGGCCCCCATACCGGCCGCTTCCTCCATCACCCACCTCCACCACTCATGAACTCGCAGCTTCCTCTCCCGCCCGCCTCCTCCACCCGCCTCCCTCACCCGCCTCCCTCACCCACCTCCTGTCTAGATTCCTCTCCTTACATCTCCTCGCTCCTTTCCACGCCCGCTGACCTGCCGCATGCCGCTGGGCCCCTGGAAGGCACCAAGCAGGGCGGCGCCGGCCACTGTTCTGACCTAATAGGATCCCCCACTTGGAGGTAAGCGTGCCAGCGTTGCAACCCTTGGTAATGGATGCACGTTGGGCGGTGCGGCGACGCTCGCCCTTGCATGCCATGAAGGATCGCTCTGTGTATGCTGCTTTAACTTCCTTAACAGCACGTCTCTTGCTTGGATTCACGCTCCTTCAAGCGCACAGGAACCACTCAGCATGTACGGCGGTGTTCGTTCCTCCTGCCCGTTACCCGTGGCGTTGCATGCATCTGCGCCGCTGTGTTGGCCCCCATACCGGCCGCTTCCTCCATCACCCACCTCCACCACTCATGAACTCGCACGCAGCTTTCTCCCCCGCCCGCCTCCTCCACCCGCCTCCCTCACCCGCCTCCCCCACCCGCCTCCCTCACCCACCTCCCGTCCAGATTCCTCTCCTTACAGATCCTCGCTCCTTCCACGCCCGCTGACCTGCCGCATGCCGCTGGGCCCCTGGAAGGCACCAAGCAGGGCGGCGCCGGCCACTGTTCTGACCTAATAGGATCCCCCACTTGGAGGTAAGCGTGCCAGCGTTGCAACCCTTGGTAATGGATGCACGTTGGGCGGTGCGGCGACGCTCGCCCTTGCATGCCATGAAGGATCGCTCTGTGTTTGCGGCTTTAACTTCCTTAACAGCACGTCTCTTGCTTGGATTCACGCTCCTTCAAGCGCACAGGAACCACTCAGCATGTACGGCGGTGTTCGTTCCTCCTGCCCGTTACCCGTGGCGTTGCATGCATCTGCGCCGCTGTGTTGGCCCCCATACCGGCCGCTTCCTCCATCACCCACCTCCACCACTCATGAACTCGCACGCAGCTTCCTCCCCCGCCCGCCTCCTCCACCCGCCTCCCTCACCCGCCTCCCCCACCCACCTCCTGTCTAGATTCCTCTCCTTACATCTCCTCGCTCCTTTCCACGCCCGCTGACCTGCCGCATGCCGCTGGGCCCCTGGAAGGCACCAAGCAGGGCGGCGCCGGCCACCGTTCTGACCTAATAGGATCCCCCACTTGGAGGTAAGCATGCTAGCGTTGCAACACATGGTGGTGGATGCACGTTGGGCGGTGCGGCGACGCTCGCCCTTGCATGCCATGAAGGATCGCTCTGTGTATGCTGCTTTAACTTCCTTAACAGCACGTCTCTTGCTTGGATTCACGCTCCTTCAAGTGCACAGGAACCACTCAGCATGTACGGCGGTGTTCGTTCCTCCTGCCCGTTACCCGTGGCGTTGCATGCATCTGCGCCGCTGTGTTGGCCCCCATACCGGCCGCTTCCTCCATCACCCACCTCCACCACTCATGAACTCGCAGCTTCCTCTCCCGCCCGCCTCCTCCACCCGCCTCCCTCACCCGCCTCCCTCACCCACCTCCTGTCCGGATTCCTCTCCTTACAGATTCTCACTCCTTCCACGCCCGCTGACCTGCCGCATGCCGCTGGGCCCCTGCTGGAAGGCACCAAGCAGGGCGGCGCCAGCCACTGTTCTGACCTAATAGGATCCCCCACTTGGAGGTAAGCGTGCCAGCGTTGCAACCCTTGGTAATGGATGCACGTTGGGCGGTGCGGCGACGCTCGCCCTTGCATGCCATGAAGGATCGCTCTGTGTATGCTGCTTTAACTTCCTTAACAGCACGTCTCTTGCTTGGATTCACGCTCCTTCAAGCGCACAGGAACCACTCAGCATGTACGGCGGTGTTCGTTCCTCCTGCCCGTTACCCGTGGCGTTGCATGCATCTGCGCCGCTGTGTTGGCCCCCATACCGGCCGCTTCCTCCATCACCCACCTCCACCACTCATGAACTCGCACGCAGCTTCCTCCCCCGCCCGCCTCCTCCACCCGCCTCCCTCACCCGCCTCCCCCACCCACCTCCTGTCTAGATTCCTCTCCTTACATCTCCTCGCTCCTTTCCACGCCCGCTGACCTGCCGCATGCCGCTGGGCCCCTGGAAGGCACCAAGCAGGGCGGCGCCGGCCACTGTTCTGACCTAATAGGATCCCCCACTTGGAGGTAAGCGTGCCAGCGTTGCAACCCTTGGTAATGGATGCACGTTGGGCGGTGCGGCGACGCTCGCCCTTGCATGCCATGAAGGATCGCTCTGTGTATGCTGCTTTAACTTCCTTAACAGCACGTCTCTTGCTTGGATTCACGCTCCTTCAAGCGCACAGGAACCACTCAGCATGTACGGCGGTGTTCGTTCCTCCTGCCCGTTACCCGTGGCGTTGCATGCATCTGCGCCGCTGTGTTGGCCCCCATACCGGCTGCTTCCTCCATCACCCACCTCCACCACTCATGAACTCGCACGCAGCTTTCTCCCCCGCCCGCCTCCTCCACCCGCCTCCTCCACCCGCCTCCCTCACCCGCCTCCCTCACCCACCTCCTGTCTAGATTCCTCTCCTTACATCTCCTCGCTCCTTTCCACGCCCGCTGACCTGCCGCATGCCGCTGGGCCCCTTGAAGGCACCAAGCAGGGCGGCGCCGGCCACTGTTCTGACCTAATAGGATCCCCCACTTGGAGGTAAGCGTGCCAGCGTTGCAACCCTTGGTAATGGATGCACGTTGGGCGGTGCGGCGACGCTCGCCCTTGCATGCCATGAAGGATCGCTCTGTGTATGCTGCTTTAACTTCCTTAACAGCACGTCTCTTGCTTGGATTCACGCTCCTTCAAGCGCACAGGTACCATGCAACATGTACGGCGGTGTTCGTTCCTCCTGCCCGTTACCCGTGGCGTTGCATGCATCTGCGCCGCTGTGTTGGCCCCCATACCGGCCGCTTCCTCCATCACCCACCTCCACCACTCATGAACTCGCAGCTTCCTCTCCCGCCCGCCTCCTCCACCCGCCTCCCTCACCCGCCTCCCTCACCCACCTCCTGTCCGGATTCCTCTCCTTACAGATTCTCGCTCCTTCCACGCCCGCTGACCTGCCGCATGCCGCTGGGCCCCTGCTGGAAGGCACCAAGCAGGGCGGCGCCAGCCACTGTTCTGACCTAATAGGATCCCCCACTTGGAGGTAAGCGTGCCAGCGTTGCAACCCTTGGTAACGGATGCACGTTGGGCGGTGCGGCGACGCTCGCCCTTGCATGCCATGAAGGATCGCTCTGTGTATGCTGCTTTAACTTCCTTAACAGCACGTCTCTTGCTTGGATTCACGCTCCTTCAAGCGCACAGGAACCACTCAGCATGTACGGCGGTGTTCGTTCCTCCTGCCCGTTACCCGTGGCGTTGCATGCATCTGCGCCGCTGTGTTGGCCCCCATACCGGCCGCTTCCTCCATCACCCACCTCCACCACTCATGAACTCGCACGCAGCTTTCTCCCCCGCCCGCCTCCTCCACCCGCCTCCCTCACCCGCCTCCCCCACCCGCCTCCCCCACCCACCTCCTGTCCGGATTCCTCTCCTTACAGATTCTCGCTCCTTCCACGCCCGCTGACCTGCCGCATGCCGCTGGGCCCCTGCTGGAAGGCACCAAGCAGGGCGGCGCCAGCCACTGTTCTGACCTAATAGGATCCCCCACTTGGAGGTAAGCGTGCCAGCGTTGCAACCCTTGGTAATGGATGCACGTTGGGCGGTGCGGCGACGCTCGCCCTTGCATGCCATGAAGGATCGCTCTGTGTATGCTGCTTTAACTTCCTTAACAGCACGTCTCTTGCTTGGATTCACGCTCCTTCAAGCGCACAGGAACCACTCAGCATGTACGGCGGTGTTCGTTCCTCCTGCCCGTTACCCGTGGCGTTGCATGCATCTGCGCCGCTGTGTTGGCCCCCATACCGGCCGCTTCCTCCATCACCCACCTCCACCACTCATGAACTCGCACGCAGCTTCCTCCCCCGCCCGCCTCCTCCACCCGCCTCCCTCACCCGCCTCCCCCACCCGCCTCCCTCACCCACCTCCCGTCCGGATTCCTCTCCTTACAGATCCTCGCTCCTTCCACGCCCGCAGACCTGCCTCATGCCGCTGGGCCCCTGGAAGGCACCAAGCAGGGCGGCGCCGGCCACCGTTCTGACCTAATAGGATCCCCCACTTGGAGGTAAGCATGCTAGCGTTGCAACACATGGTGGTGGATGCACGTTGGGCGGTGCGGCGACGCTCACCCTTGCATGCCATGAAGGATCGCTCTGTGTATGCTGCTTTAACTTCCTTAACAGCACGTCTCTTGCTTGGATTCACGCTCCTTCAAGCGCACAGGTACCATGCAACATGTACGGCGGTGTTCGTTCCTCCTGCCCGTTTCCCGTGGCGTTGCATGCATCTGCGCCGCTGTGTTGGCCCCCATACCGGCCGCTTCCTCCATCACCCACCTCCACCACTCATGAACTCGCAGCTTCCTCTCCCGCCCGCCTCCTCCACCCGCCTCCCTCACCCGCCTCCCTCACCCACCTCCTGTCTAGATTCCTCTCCTTACATCTCCTCGCTCCTTTCCACGCCCGCTGACCTGCCGCATGCCGCTGGGCCCCTTGAAGGCACCAAGCAGGGCGGCGCCGGCCACTGTTCTGACCTAATAGGATCCCCCACTTGGAGGTAAGCGTGCCAGCGTTGCAACCCTTGGTAATGGATGCACGTTGGGCGGTGCGGCGACGCTCGCCCTTGCATGCCATGAAGGATCGCTCTGTGTATGCTGCTTTAACTTCCTTAACAGCACGTCTCTTGCTTGGATTCACGCTCCTTCAAGCGCACAGGAACCACTCAGCATGTACGGCGGTGTTCGTTCCTCCTGCCCGTTACCCGTGGCGTTGCATGCATCTGCGCCGCTGTGTTGGCCCCCATACCGGCTGCTTCCTCCATCACCCACCTCCACCACTCATGAACTCGCACGCAGCTTTCTCCCCCGCCCGCCTCCTCCACCCGCCTCCTCCACCCGCCTCCCTCACCCGCCTCCCTCACCCACCTCCTGTCTAGATTCCTCTCCTTACATCTCCTCGCTCCTTTCCACGCCCGCTGACCTGCCGCATGCCGCTGGGCCCCTTGAAGGCACCAAGCAGGGCGGCGCCGGCCACTGTTCTGACCTAATAGGATCCCCCACTTGGAGGTAAGCGTGCCAGCGTTGCAACCCTTGGTAATGGATGCACGTTGGGCGGTGCGGCGACGCTCGCCCTTGCATGCCATGGAGGATCGCTCTGTGTTTGCGGCTTTAACTTCCTTAACAGCACGTCTCTTGCTTGGATTCACGCTCCTTCAAGCGCACAGGAACCACTCAGCATGTACGGCGGTGTTCGTTCCTCCTGCCCGTTACCCGTGGCGTTGCATGCATCTGCGCCGCTGTGTTGGCCCCCATACCGGCCGCTTCCTCCATCACCCACCTCCACCACTCATGAACTCGCACGCAGCTTCCTCCCCCGCCCGCCTCCTCCACCCGCCTCCCTCACCCGCCTCCCCCACCCACCTCCTGTCTAGATTCCTCTCCTTACATCTCCTCGCTCCTTTCCACGCCCGCTGACCTGCCGCATGCCGCTGGGCCCCTGGAAGGCACCAAGCAGGGCGGCGCCGGCCACCGTTCTGACCTAATAGGATCCCCCACTTGGAGGTAAGCATGCTAGCGTTGCAACACATGGTGGTGGATGCACGTTGGGCGGTGCGGCGACGCTCGCCCTTGCATGCCATGAAGGATCGCTCTGTGTATGCTGCTTTAACTTCCTTAACAGCACGTCTCTTGCTTGGATTCACGCTCCTTCAAGTGCACAGGAACCACTCAGCATGTACGGCGGTGTTCGTTCCTCCTGCCCGTTACCCATGGCGTTGCATGCATCTGCGCCGCTGTGTTGGCCCCCATACCGGCCGCTTCCTCCATCACCCACCTCCACCACTCATGAACTCGCAGCTTCCTCTCCCGCCCGCCTCCTCCACCCGCCTCCCTCACCCGCCTCCCTCACCCACCTCCTGTCCGGATTCCTCTCCTTACAGATTCTCGCTCCTTCCACGCCCGCTGACCTGCCGCATGCCGCTGGGCCCCTGCTGGAAGGCACCAAGCAGGGCGGCGCCAGCCACTGTTCTGACCTAATAGGATCCCCCACTTGGAGGTAAGCGTGCCAGCGTTGCAACCCTTGGTAATGGATGCACGTTGGGCGGTGCGGCGACGCTCGCCCTTGCATGCCATGAAGGATCGCTCTGTGTATGCTGCTTTAACTTCCTTAACAGCACGTCTCTTGCTTGGATTCACGCTCCTTCAAGCGCACAGGAACCACTCAGCATGTACGGCGGTGTTCGTTCCTCCTGCCCGTTACCCGTGGCGTTGCATGCATCTGCGCCGCTGTGTTGGCCCCCATACCGGCCGCTTCCTCCATCACCCACCTCCACCACTCATGAACTCGCACGCAGCTTTCTCCCCCGCCCGCCTCCTCCACCCGCCTCCCTCACCCGCCTCCCCCACCCACCTCCTGTCTAGATTCCTCTCCTTACATCTCCTCGCTCCTTTCCACGCCCGCTGACCTGCCGCATGCCGCTGGGCCCCTGGAAGGCACCAAGCAGGGCGGCGCCGGCCACTGTTCTGACCTAATAGGATCCCCCACTTGGAGGTAAGCGTGCCAGCGTTGCAACCCTTGGTAATGGATGCACGTTGGGCGGTGCGGCGACGCTCGCCCTTGCATGCCATGAAGGATCGCTCTGTGTATGCTGCTTTAACTTCCTTAACAGCACGTCTCTTGCTTGGATTCACGCTCCTTCAAGCGCACAGGAACCACTCAGCATGTACGGCGGTGTTCGTTCCTCCTGCCCGTTACCCGTGGCGTTGCATGCATCTGCGCCGCTGTGTTGGCCCCCATACCGGCCGCTTCCTCCATCACCCACCTCCACCACTCATGAACTCGCACGCAGCTTTCTCCCCCGCCCGCCTCCTCCACCCGCCTCCCTCACCCGCCTCCCCCACCCGCCTCCCTCACCCACCTCCCGTCCGGATTCCTCTCCTTACAGATCCTCGCTCCTTCCACGCCCGCAGACCTGCCTCATGCCGCTGGGCCCCTGGAAGGCACCAAGCAGGGCGGCGCCGGCCACCGTTCTGACCTAATAGGATCCCCCACTTGGAGGTAAGCATGCTAGCGTTGCAACACATGGTGGTGGATGCACGTTGGGCGGTGCGGCGACGCTCACCCTTGCATGCCATGAAGGATCGCTCTGTGTATGCTGCTTTAACTTCCTTAACAGCACGTCTCTTGCTTGGATTCACGCTCCTTCAAGCGCACAGGTACCATGCAACATGTACGGCGGTGTTCGTTCCTCCTGCCCGTTACCCGTGGCGTTGCATGCATCTGCGCCGCTGTGTTGGCCCCCATACCGGCCGCTTCCTCCATCACCCACCTCCACCACTCATGAACTCGCAGCTTCCTCTCCCGCCCGCCTCCTCCACCCGCCTCCCTCACCCGCCTCCCTCACCCACCTCCTGTCTAGATTCCTCTCCTTACATCTCCTCGCTCCTTTCCACGCCCGCTGACCTGCCGCATGCCGCTGGGCCCCTTGAAGGCACCAAGCAGGGCGGCGCCGGCCACTGTTCTGACCTAATAGGATCCCCCACTTGGAGGTAAGCGTGCCAGCGTTGCAACCCTTGGTAATGGATGCACGTTGGGCGGTGCGGCGACGCTCGCCCTTGCATGCCATGAAGGATCGCTCTGTGTATGCTGCTTTAACTTCCTTAACAGCACGTCTCTTGCTTGGATTCACGCTCCTTCAAGCGCACAGGAACCACTCAGCATGTACGGCGGTGTTCGTTCCTCCTGCCCGTTACCCGTGGCGTTGCATGCATCTGCGCCGCTGTGTTGGCCCCCATACCGGCTGCTTCCTCCATCACCCACCTCCACCACTCATGAACTCGCACGCAGCTTTCTCCCCCGCCCGCCTCCTCCACCCGCCTCCTCCACCCGCCTCCCTCACCCGCCTCCCTCACCCACCTCCTGTCTAGATTCCTCTCCTTACATCTCCTCGCTCCTTTCCACGCCCGCTGACCTGCCGCATGCCGCTGGGCCCCTTGAAGGCACCAAGCAGGGCGGCGCCGGCCACTGTTCTGACCTAATAGGATCCCCCACTTGGAGGTAAGCGTGCCAGCGTTGCAACCCTTGGTAATGGATGCACGTTGGGCGGTGCGGCGACGCTCGCCCTTGCATGCCATGAAGGATCGCTCTGTGTTTGCGGCTTTAACTTCCTTAACAGCACGTCTCTTGCTTGGATTCACGCTCCTTCAAGCGCACAGGAACCACTCAGCATGTACGGCGGTGTTCGTTCCTCCTGCCCGTTACCCGTGGCGTTGCATGCATCTGCGCCGCTGTGTTGGCCCCCATACCGGCCGCTTCCTCCATCACCCACCTCCACCACTCATGAACTCGCACGCAGCTTCCTTCCCCGCCCGCCTCCTCCACCCGCCTCCCTCACCCGCCTCCCCCACCCGCCTCCCTCACCCACCTCCTGTCCGGATTCTTCTCTCTTACATCTCCTCGCTCCTTCCACGCCCGCAGACCTGCCTCATGCCAGACGCCTAAAAGGGCGGCGCCGGCCACCGTTCTGACCTAATAGGATCCCCCGCTTGGAGGTAAGCGTGCCAGCATCGCAACCCATGGTGGTGGATGCATGCTGGGCGGTGCGGCGACACTCGCCCTTGCATGCCATGAAGAATCGCTCTGTGTTTGCGGCTTTCACTTCCTTAACAGCACGTCTCTTGCTTGGATTCACGCTCCTTCAAGCGCACAGGAACCATGCAGCATGTCCGTTGATGTTCCTCCTTTTGGCATTCATGTGGCAACGTGTTCTTGACACACATTCATGACGTGAATGTTACGTGCGGCATACATGTGATGTCATGTGATTTTGGGGAGCATTGTGGTGATCTTGGCAGTGGGGTGCCTTGCCAAGGGGTACCACTTAGTATTGCGGGGGCATTGTGGTGGTAGACTGGACCTCTTGGCAGTGGGGTGCGTTGTCAAGGGGAGTATTGTACAGACAGGAAGGGCATTCATGGAGGTGCATACTGTAGCATGCGGGATACAACAGCCGTGTGGGGCACCTGTTTGCCCAAAGCTTGCGGTATAGATGGCGGCGGGCTATGTCTGACAAGACAAGGCTGACAGGGTTGGAAACCGGCTAGTGCCATATGTTGATGCCATGTGTTTTGGTATTGTAAACCCAGCAGCGCCATTTCTTTTGGTTCCAAAGACAGCAAGGCGCTTGGGCTAAAACAAAGCCTTCAATTGCTTGAGCTACACGTCATTTTCTGTTGGTTGGCAGCATGGAGCGCGCACTCCACAGAGCCGTGAACTTTATGGGGCATACGCCTGACTGTGTCATCGTAAGCGGCTACCCTCAGTACATAAATAACGTATGTAAGCAAGCAGCACCACACGAAGAATGCTGTCTGTACAAGGGTGTGCCAGATGGCATCCTTACTTCGCTTGATGGAAAAGTAAGGTCCAATGCGGCAAGTAAATAGAAGCACTAGATGTGCAAACTCTGACATACTTCATTGGGCTTCATTGCCTCCGTTGCTTTACTTGAAGTGATCACTTCAACTATCACGTACTGGAATGGCTACACGACCTATGCTGGTGTTCTCAACTGCCACTTCTTACTTGCTGAATTACCAATTGGTGCGACTTCCCATTATAGTATACCTAACACTGAGACCTTTTCGTGCTAGAAAATGGTAGCATTGACCTTGACGCTGAATGCAAAAGAGAAATGAAGCCACAATGATATCGCTTGGTCTTTACAAGGCACGTTACATTTCAACCTGTACAGAGGCCAGCAAATGCTTACAGAAACAATGGTGGTCAGCCATCCCACAGGTCTTCGCGTTTTGAGGGCCGACGCCAAACAGGCTACAACCTTGAATGCAGAAATGAACAACATGAAAATGAGGATGCGTTCAACCTGGATTCTGAGTAGGTGAAGGACGGGGCGGTAAGCCATTGACCTTTGCTGTTCGTCAGTATTCAGCCAAATTAGCCATAATCTTACATGTCATGTGATGTTTTCATGTAACCGACAGGGAGGATGCTTCGGAAAAGTGGTTGGAAGAGCAGGAGGGCTGGACATTCTTGTAGATGGACTGGGCGAGCGAGGTGCTTGGCGTGCTGCTGTCTTGCAAGATTTGGCATTTGCACACAAGACGTAAGCCTTTGTAAGTTTGAAGGCAAGTCCTGGTACATTTGGGCTATCCAGACGCTTTGATGCTTTACCTTCTACACACAGCAGTGCTTTTACATAAAGTGCGCCTGGCCAGATAGCGATCCTTATGGTTTAGGTTTGTAAGGTTACATGCTGTTTCACCTCATAACCATGCCCGCAGCCATCAACAACAGTTGCAAACGAGATGATGGTAACCAGCAGCATGGGAGAACGCAGTATAATGGGTGCCCTCATGCCTTGACCATTGCGTCTATGGAGACAGTCAAGGCCATACTGCTGGTGGTGGTGCAAGTAGTTAAGGTTGACAAGGTGGCAGGCTAGGTAAGGGTAGGAAGGGAAAAATGGGTATGGGTACTATGCACCAACATGTTTACGTAGGAAAAGCGGGTTCACGCTTTGTCCTAGGACCGCTAAGCCATACTGCTAAGCCCCTCGAGTTGCTTTCCCTTGAGCCAAGCAAGCCATTCCTACACGTGCAATTGAGCATGTCTCCCAATGGCCCATGGGCCAGCTTGCCATTACTGAACATACCCTTAGTCCTGCCTACCCCGTGCACATAACCTATTGTCCCCTGTATGCCCCCATCACTGACATGTCAGGACCCCGAGGCTGGCCTGGCGGCCACCGTCAACATGATGCCTTCAACTGCGCCATGCCATCCAGTGTGGGCAGCAAGGTGAAGCAGCTCGCTCTCCTGGAGCTTGAGGTAGGCACATGACACGCAAGCTCCCGTGCAAGCTTGTAAAGGGCAAGCCAGTAAGCCGTAGGGGGCTATTGAATGCTTGCATTGAAGGGGTTCCCTCGTATTGTTCCTAGTGTAGCTGACACGATAGGACATTCAGCATTTGTTTCCTTTGCTGAGCCCGCCTGCACCCAACCCCTAATTACTGGGCCTTGTAGCCTCAAGTCATGAAGCACGCCATCTGCTAACATTGTCTTGTTGCAACTGTAGAAAGCTCTTTGTCTTACTTCCTTCATAATTATGCCCCTGCAGTGCAGATAAAGTGGCTCATCATCTTGACTGGCATCAGTGCAGCTTTGTTTCACTACGGGCTCAAGGAGGAGGTCTCCTGTGTCGAAGGATGCTAGAGGTGGCACGGCTGGCACCTGCTGTTGAGCAATAGTAGGAGAAAGCGTGTGGCTGCATGTGTTAAATAACTAAGGGTTGTACGAGGAGGGACTATGGGTGAGATAATAGGGGGCCGACAGTCAGGGTTATGACACAACGAAGAGGGTTAGAATGCAAAGGAGAGTTGCGAGATGTTACAGAAAGTAGCATATGTTTTGGAAATTTGCATGTTGTGCCCATGTGATCCGTCCAAGAATTGAGTGAGAGCATTGGGCGTGGAGTGAAAACTACCCTACCAAGCCAGAGATATGCATGTCGCATCATGTTAAGGGCAGACCCACTTGAGGGTCGGGGGCAGAGTGAGGACGAGTAAGCACAGCTTGCCTGTTGGATTGCATTGGTACCTTCTTCAGATGTCGTTACCCAGCACGCAGCCACCGGGCGGTGGGGGTTTAGCTATCATGTTGAGGAGGGACATACTGGCTTAGGGACTGGAGGCAGAGTGAGCAGGAGACTATGACCCTGCAACTGTGTACCAGCTGTACAGTGGTGTCACCAATCAGCACCCCGCACATGGGGCTCATTGCTAAAGCAATCCTTTCATCCAGCCAATCCCTGTTTCGATGATCCATTAGCACTGCACATGGATCACAGCTAATCCCTTTCTATCTAATCCGTCGGTGCATGCACATGGCTCAGGGCTAATCCCTTTTCATCTAATCCGTAACCCTCACGCACGGCTCCTAGGTAATCCACGTTAATCTAATCTGCCTGTGCATGGTTTTGGCTTAACATGGATTACAGTAACCCCAGCAAATCCAACTTGAACCATTCTAATCGGATTACCATGCTTGCACAACTGCACGTGCACAGTCGGATCAGATCAATTGTAATCCCTTTCGATCCCCGTTAAGTCGGAAATCCGGAAATTTTGATCCGTGGTAATCCGGGATCATCCAGCTCAAAGTCGTGTACACGAGAACGGATTAACAGCCAAAACAGCTGCGGATTAACCCATAGGGGCCGTTGGTAGGGTGTTTCTGTGCTCTGCATCCCCACCCCATTCGTGGTCACTGTAAGTGCTTTCTCGCAGCTCAGTCTGTCTACTCCAACCCCGCATCCTCAGTCGTGTTCCACATCCATGGAGACATGCGACATGCTGCGATGCTAGGCCTTTACAACGGGTCGACTAGCCGCGTTCGCAATATATGTTTTCTACATTGGTTGTTTCTTGTACGTTTGGGGATTGGGCAGTTCCGTTTGGCTACCGTGGTTCAGAGGTGAACTGTCATTGGAACATCGGAAGCCGAGAAGTGACCATTTTGTTGATAGAATTAATTCTGCGTATAAGAAACGAAGAAAGGATGGCAATACAGCTTTCAAAACCCTAACATGAGGCCTGGAAAAAGTTTCCGGAGGTTCATGTAAAAAAGTCGTTGGGGCCCTGAACCCACCCACCCACCCCTGCCGTACAACCAACTTTGCAAGCCCAAAACGTTTTCCATACAACTCCATACAGAATTCTGAAAGCAGATTCGGAATCCCCACGCAAAACTCCTTCGATTTGAGGGTTGGGGTCTATTTTTGCGGTTGTTACCCCCCCCCCCCCCCTGGTCACAGTGCAAGGAGCTGAGCAAAGCAATTGGCAGCCTGCATCTGCCTACCTGTTGCCATGCGTGAGTGCATACCTCATCATATAATCTTTCTGAAAGCGTCTTTCTGAAAGCCTCCCCTTTATCAACTATACTTGCTCCAGGCTGGCAGCAGTCATAGTACACGTGCAAGAACCGTTAGGTAGGTGCGTCTAAATGGGACGGCTACCTAACTTGGATGACCATGCATTTATCTGAGTGATTGCTGCCCATGATGAGCGGCTTAAGATGTTGAGGGCCCATTTCTTTCTGCCCACTTGATGTCCGTCCGAAACACGCATGTTTTCCGAGCTCCTGGCACCATAGTCCACAAAAGTCCAGGTGGGCGCAATAAGCTTGGGGTATTATAAAGGTGCTTGACCAATTTTGACATCAAGGGATCTGGTCCTGTGGTCTAGCGGTTAGGACAGCAGACTTTGAATCTGCTAACCTGAGTTCGAATCTCAGCAGGACCTGCGCAATTTTTGCATTTTTAGCCCCCCGAAGCCTCGTTGTGACGTTCGCATCTGCTAATCGACGGCGGCAACAGGGTGCAGCCAAAGTCTGCCACCCGGAGAGGACGCATGCATGCCGACTGAATGAATTCATTATTATTAAAGCATCCGCTGCAAGATCCTTGCTTTGACTGGTAAAGAAGTAAGGAACGCAGAAACAGTCAGGCCCCAACATTTGGTAGCGTAAAATTCGTGATGAGAGCATTTCGCCCAGCTCTGTATTCTAGCTATCTTATTTGTTTTCGGAAATGTATGGCTAAAGCCATGCTGAAATTGGGTTCTACGACAGGTTGGGTGGGTGGCGTCGGCCTGGGAGCCCAAGGACTGGGAGGCCATTTTGTTTTCTCAGGTGCTGGCCCAGGAGGCGATGGTCAAGATGGGGTCCAGTAGTGGGTTGGGCTTTGACCTTGCTTCACTGGATGGGAGGGTGATTGACTTGTGGGAGTTGCTCGTTGACTCACTTTGTTAGCGTCATCTTACTCATGGGCTGTTGTTTAGGGCTGTTTAGGGCTGGTGGTGGGATTTCTGTGGCGGTTGTTTTTTCCTTGGTGTTTTGTTCCAGTACCGGCCCACCTTAGGGCCTGGCTGACTGTCAACCTCAACAAATGTAGGTGCCGGCCGGAGCTGTATGTAGCAAGGTGTTTTGCTTCTGTATGTGCTCCCCTGTTCCCGTTTTTACTCGTTGCGCTTGTTCCATGTTGGCTTCCGCATTGGGAATGTATGTAGGGGCTGGCAGGCAGTCCGTAGCAGCCCATTTTGGCTGGGTTGTAGGCGGTGGACGGGGTATTGGTGTTT